TGCCTGTGATAGTGCACGATCACACCCACTAGTCTCTTGGGAAGATGGGTATATTTCCGAGTAAGAAACCCGTCCCACAAAGAACACCGTTGGGATGTATTTTGAGACACTGGAAAGATCTGGGAGGTGATCCTCTGATTCAGAAGCAATTAATTGAATATTGCAATCATTGGTGGCCAATGTATAGATTGAAAAGCGGGGAGAAATGGCCAGAAAACGGGACATTGCAGTATAACACCATCTTGCAATTAATGTCGTTTTGTAAAAGGGAAGGTAAATGGAATGAAGTGGCATATGTTGATTTGTTCTTTACGTTGCGAAATCATCTGGAATGGCAATGTTGTGGGATACACCCACAGGATTCTATGGTAATGGTTTTGAAAAAAGAGAAGTGTGGTGAGAACTCGAGAATGTGTTGTTCTACTTGTGATATTGATAAAAGTTGCCTAAAAAGGGGAACAGGGGAGGAGGATATTGAATTAATGGTTGTGCCTCATCGGAAATGGGGTCAAAGGGTTCAAATTCCAGAGGTTGAAGATCCTTCTGCTCCTCTTCTGGGAGAGGAAGCAGAGGCATTTAGCTCAATTGCAAGGAGAACGCGGGGAAGAACAGGGGAAGCAGGAGCAGCTTCTTTCCAGGCCCTTTCTCCGAGAGGCAGTGGGGAATGACGGTCCAGTAGTGGTAAAAGTTCCTTTCTCAATTACCAATTTAAGATCATGGAAAGAGATTGCAGATTCCTATTGGGAGGATCCCGAAAGAGTAGCCAAGGCAATCGAAACAATAATCAGAACTCAAGATCCTGATTGGAATAATATACAAGTAATATTGGATACTTTGCTTGATGAAACTGAAAAGAGAATTGTATTGAATGCTGCCAGAAAACAGGTGGAGGGAGCACATGCTAATGGGGATTTACAAGGGACAGTGGACCAGAATTTCCCATCTGCAAATCCCGAGTGGGACCCCAATCAACCGGGCCCCAGGGGAATGTTGACTAGATATCAGAGATGGATTTTATTTGGTGTAAGACATGCAATGCCAAAGGCAATAAATTGGTCAAAAATCTATGAAGTAAGACAGGAACCAAATGAGTCCCCTTCAGCCTTTATGGAAAGACTAAAGGTGACTGCTAGGAAGTATACCAATTTGAATCCAGAAAACCCAGAAGAAGCAGTACAATTGGTCTTTTTGTTTATGGGTCAATCGGCCCCGGATATTAGAAAGAAACTCCAGAAATTAGAAGGACCCGAATCTAGGGATTTGGGTAAAATGCTTGAAGTAGCTTGGACTGTATATAATAACAGGGAAAGA